CCTACCTGGTGCTGTGTGGCCTAGAACGGCCCAACTGGTCTGGGTCCCTATCGGACGTCCAGACCCTGCTGCTGATGCAGCATGGCGCATAAATGCGCCTGGCCTAAAAACGGCCTCCTACCGGTGCACCTGGCCCTAGATGTCGTCTTGGGTCCTGCAGGACCGAAACGACGCCTGTACCTACCTGTTTGGCGCCAAAATGCGCCTGGCCTCATTTCGGGCCTGCCTCCGGTGTACCCAGTCCCAAGGTCCGACCTTCGGGCTGCCAGTCCGAAACGGCACCTGAACAGACAAAAATAAGACAGCACACACACACAAAAAAAGGTAAGTAAAATAAACCTATCTACATAGTGTGCTGCCTAGGGATTGGAGGGCCGCCGTGGGCCCCAGGGCGCGTGCCGGATGGTATGCGGCCTGGGGGCCCCTTAGCAACCGTCGGGCCCCTCAAATGGGGCCCGTGTGCAGGCGCAGCATGTAACACCCCTCCCTCCTTATGAAGTCAAGCCCATCAGGGCGAAGCTGACGATCTGAAGGCGGTACTTGGACGCGTGTGCGTCGTGGAGCCGAAGATGTCGGCTTGCCTTTCAACTTCTGTTCGTAGCGTGCGAGAGCATCGGGCGCTATTGCGTGAAGTTCCGCACGAGTCAGCCATCGGTCAGCTCTATGGGTGCAATATGCAAAGTGCACCAAAAATTCAGTCGGCCTGTTGCCGTAACGTTGCTGGGATATGATGTTGCCAACCTCTTGGAAACCGTCCATCGAGGGTGGGTCTTGCGATCGTCGCCCAGGAAAGTCGTCAAGTTCTGCTGGCGTGTAGAGAGCCAACTTGGAACAGTGAAAGACCGGGTTGACGGGCAAGTGGGCGGACACCTGAATGATGAACGAAGGTCCTTCGGGTGCGTCCCCAGCGGGTGCCACGATTGGCCAGGGCCCCATCCATTTCGGAAGGAGCTTGCGAGAGATATCTTGTTCGAGGCTGAATTCCGCAGCAGAAACCCATACGAGGTCGCCGGCGCGGAATGGTCAAGGAAGACGCTGGCGGTTGGCCTGTTGGCGCATACGTTGCTGCGTCTTTGCCTTCTGGTCGCGTGCCTTGACAAGAAGCTCTTGCATCCGACGAATGAAGAGAAGGTGGTCGTCGCTCTTGGCCGCCCGTGGAATGATTGTGTCCAACGGAGAATTGACTGGCGAGCCATGCTCGAATTCAAAGGGCGACATTCCGATAGCCGGATGGATGGACGAGTTGTATGCCAACTCGACATCCGACAACCGCTCAACCCAATCTTTCTGGTCGGGACGGATGAGAGTTCGAAGGAGGACCTGTGCGGTCTGATGTGCCCTCTCCGTTTGGCCATCGGTTTGGGGGTGGCGAGCCGAACTTGGCTTGAGGGATGAGCCCCATCATTTGATGAGCGCCAACCAAAAATCAGACATGAACCGAGTGTCGCGGTCGCAGACGATCTCCTTGGGGTAACCCTTGGTTCGAATCCAACCGGCGTAGAGAACCTCGGCCAACTCCGGTGCCTTGGCATGATATGGGCAAGGCAAGAACATGGCAAACTTGGTGAGTCGGTCAACCACCGTGAGAATGCCATCCACACCCGTCTTGTGCTTGGGTAACGGCCCGGTAATGTCCATGGCAATCGCTTCCCTTCGGCGCAAGGGGACCGGCAATGGTCGCAGTTTGCCGTACGGACGATGATTGCGTGATTTGCAACGTCAGCAAACCTCGCATGACTCGCAATAGCGTGTGACGTCGTCGAGAAGACTAGGCCACCAAAAGCGCTCGCGAAGTCGGCCAATCGTGCGATTGACTCCAAAATGTCTGATGGCGGGGGCGTCATGGAACTCGCCAAGAAGCCACGTGCGCAAGTGTGAATCTTGCGGCACTCTTGCGGCACACAAAGTAGATCCTTCCCCCGCGAGTGAACGAGCAAGTATCCCTCTTGGATCCGATAGTGCGAAAGCGCCGGATTGGAAGAGGAACAGTTTGCGTACTTGTTACGAAATTCGGGGTCGGCTTGATAGCCGCGGATGCTGTCCTGCAAGTCATCCTCGATCTCGAAGGTTGAGTAGACCGCGATGCAGTGGTCCGGACGCCGTGAAAGGGCATCCGCGAAACGGTTCAACTTCCCCGGAATGTGATCGGGAAAGAAGTCGAATTGGTCGATGAAGGCCATCCAACGGGCGATGGTGCTGTTGACGGTGTCCTGAGACTTGCACAAGACCAACGGATTGTTGTCCGTTACCCATCGGAACTGGCACCGACCAAGGAGGAAGTGCCGCCACCTCTTGAGTGCGTGGACGAAGGCGAGAAGTTCCTTCTTGTGTGCATCATCGATGGAGTGCACGGCCGACACTTTCTTGCTGAAGTATTCGACCGGGTGCCAGTCCACGCCATCATGTTGTTCGAGGACAGCACCAATGCCATAGCCGGACGCGTCCGTGGTGACACGTGTTGGCAATAGCGGGTCGTATATCTGCAATACCTCCGCAGAGAGCAATGCGGCCTTGAGGGCCAATAACGATTCCCTCGCGTCCGTCCCGAAGTCAAATGGTCGGTCCTCGCATTGAAGCTTGGTTAAGTGAGCCGCGATCTTCGAGTACCCTTTGATGAAACGTTGGTAGTAGCCGGCAAGGCCAAGGAAAGATCGGACATCCGTGACGTTCCGCGGCTCCGGCCAATCTTGGACGACTTGAATCTTGTCCGACAACGGACTGATGCCTTGCGGAGTAACGAAGTGGCCCAAGTATTCCAACTCTTGGCGTACGAATTCGCACTTGTCGCGGTTGGCTTTGAACTTGGCGCGTCGGAGTGTCTCCAACACTCGTCGAAGATGGTCGAGATGTTCCTCCAAGGTCCGGCTATAGACGAGGATGTCGTCCAAGTAGACCAACACGAATCGGTCCAGCATTGCACAAAACTCGTTGGTCATCGCCGCTTGAAAAGTCGTCGGGGCGTTGGTGAGTCCAAAAGGCATGACGACCCACTCGAAGTGCCCGTACCGTGTCTTGAACGTGGTCTTGTAGCGATCTTGCAGCCGAGTCGAGATCTGATGATATCCTGACTTCAAGACCAGTTTGGAAAAAAAAATTGCGCCGCCCAAGCGCTCTAGAAGGTCTTCAATGCGAGGAAGAGGTCCCGCGTTCTTGACGGTTTGCACATTCAGCTTGCGGTAATCGATGCATAGGCGAAGGTCCTTGTTCTTCTTCCGAACGAAGAGAACCGGCGCACCATAGGGTGAGCTGCTAAGTCGGATCCAGCCTTTGTCCAACAAGTCGTCGAGCTGCGCGCGGAGTACTGTAAGTTCCTCCTCGCTCATGCGATAAATGCAACCTTTTGGCGGCACGACACCGGCCTCGAGAATGATCTCGTGCGAGATCGGCCAATCCGGCACCATGCCGGTAGGTGACTCGAAGACGTCGGCGAATTCGTCGAGCAACCGCACCACCCGGGGGTCTGAAGACAAGTCCGTGGGTTGAGATTCGGCTACCGCGACGGTTCGAAGAAAACATAAGCCTATCGCTTCGGTCCGCTCGTAAGCGCAAGTGGCCCGAAAAGATTTGGCTGTTACAACTTGGCACCGGATCGAAGGGTGCGGGAGAGGATAGTACATGGTACTTCGGCGCCAAACGCGTCACAAACCGTAAGTGTCCGCCGATGGAAGTTGACCGTGTGATCCGCACTTGCAAGCCAAGGCATGCCCAGAATGATGTCGAAGTCCGTGTCCAAGACGTTAAACGTCACCGGTTCGCATGCATGAGGTGTGAAATAAACCGGGACAGCTTCGATGTAGCGATCAAGGAGTTGTTGCGTTCTTCCATTCGCCAACTTGATCGACGTAGGGTGTGCCTTCCTTCGAACTTGTGGTCCAAGGCCGACCCTTTGCATGAAGGACTGGCTAATGAAGTTGCGAGTCGCGCCCCTATCCAGCAAAGCGTTGCAGGACGCTTGCCCGATTTGGATGCGGACATAAAGGAGCGGTGCGTTGTTGTCGTCGTACCGCTGCGTGCGAAACTCACGGGCCACCTTGCTCACATACGCAAGAATGTCCCCCACCACGATTTCGTCCTCCGTCGGTGAAGTTGGTGGTGCATAGAAGGCTAGGTATGTATGGAGATGAGCGCTAAGAGCTGCGCATTGCGGCTCCGGTAAGCAGCCGGTGGAAGGGAGAGGAAGCCATGCAAAATCCTTGGGCGTCAACGGGTCCAAGTCCTCTATGTTGAACGCGCGCGCCGAATCCCGTGAAGGTCCACTTGAAGACGAATCAATGTCGCTGCTTCCGAATGGAGAAGAGACCGCACATACATCCTGTCCTTGGGCTCGTGAATTCAGCGAAGGTACGAGCCGGGCAGCATAGTCCTCGAAGGAATGAAGAATGGGAGGACTTACGACGTCCGCATGTGCCCCGGAACCGAGGGAGATTACTCGTACGACAACCGGTTCCGTAGGCGTCGAGAGTGTCGTCGCATCACTCTCGACGGTGCTCACTTTCCTGACTGGGCGGTACCCTTGGCCTTCGTGGGACAGCTCGTTGTCTCATGTGCTGAGCTGTTGCACCACAAGCAATAGCGGTACTTGGTGCGGACGCGGTATCTGCGCTTTGTAAGCTCGTACGCTGTCCAAGGTCCTTGCTCTTGAGCTGCTTGCCCGGGCCCGGAAGAAGTAGTGGTGTTCGTCTTCGTCTTGCCGCGTCCTCGTCCTTTGGCGGGGTGGCCACCATTCTGGGCAGCTGCGAGTTTGTCTCCCTCGTCAGACGAAACAGCCTCGTTTAGAATTGAAGGGTCGCTAGGCGTTTCTGCTGCGACCACGGCCACTTTCGGCCGATGCTGATGCGCGCCCTGGCCGGCAGTCGACGAGTGGCCCGTGTTCCGGGCTGCCAAATTCGTCACGATGATCTGCGCGGCTTTGTTGAAGAGTTCCTCACTTGTGTTGAGGTTCTCGGCAACTTGAGTTAACGCATTCTGCAACGCTGGGCACGACCGCTTGATGAAGTAAAGCTTGATGCCGTCGAAGTTCATCGGCAACTTGGGCGTGCTTGCCAGCCGTTGGAACTCATAAATCCAGTCTCCGCTTGGCATGCTGTTCTGTGAAAACGTCAGCAGCTTGTCCATCGCCTGGTGCTCGCGCGGTTCTATTTGGAAACGCTTCTTCCATGCCGCTGTGAGATCTGCCCAGGTGATGTAGTTGTGCAATTCGATGACTGTACATGCATGTGCGGACAGCATGTTGTCCAACCATGCCTGACACGCGCCTCCCGAGCAGGAGTACAAATCGATGACGTGGTGGATATCCAACTTGAGTTCAAACTGGCGCCACCATTGGATGGGGTCGGTCTTCGATGCGTCACAGAAGATCGGGAGCCCATCGAACTTGACAATCGTTTCGCGTGTCGTTGCGCAAGGGCCAACTGCTGCGGAAACCTGTTGTTGCAGCTGCTGTGCCCCAGTCTCAAGTGTTTCCATGTCTATCTCCAAGACATTGACACGGTCGACGAGATTGGAGGGGCCGACGCTGGTGTTGGCGGTGGCGATCTGCTGCTCCAGCTGCTGTATGCGCTTGAGCATCTGGTCCACTGATTGTTGTAACACCTTGTTGGTGTGGTCGAGGGAGTGGATGTCCTCCTGCTGTGCGATACAAGTCGCAAGGAGGTCCGTGACACGATTGAGCAGATGAGATACCCTGCTCCCGTAGTCGACAGATTCGCCGCTCTCGGCCTCCCCCTTGGCCTGTGCATGTAATGCACCTTCCTCCCTGAATATGACTTCGCGTCGCCGCACCCGTTCTTCATCGACTGCCTTGGCTGCTGCTGCCGCGTGCTTCTGCCGTTGTTCTTCAGCCAGACGCAGTCTCTCTGCCTCTGCTTCTCTCTTCTTCCGTGCTGCTGCCGCTGCGTTTGACCGATGCTTGGTTTCGGCCATGATGGCCGCCAGCCGTGCCTCGTAGGCCTCGTCAGTCTCGCCTGACCTCTGATCCATCTCGACTGTATTTGAGCGAGTAAGTATGGTCATGGCCTGCGAGTGCCTGACGTGGCCTGCTGAAGTGAGGACTTACCTGGTCTGCAACTGACAGGAAATGGGCAGTTAAGAAGGGCGGAGAAGGGATGAAGAGTGGGGGTGGAGAGAAGGGGGGGGGGCAATCAAATGGGTCACCCAGATATGGAGCCACTAATCAAAAAAAAAATTGGAACTTTTGCAAAAATTTCGAAGAAAAGAAAAAAATTCGAATTTGCAAGTTCGGTGGGCCCCTCAGATATCCCCTCAGTAGTTAATTCGAAAAAATAAAAAATTTTGAATTTCAGACTGCGAATGAATCAAAATAGCAAATGGAGATAATGGGGGTAGCTGAACTGCGAAAATAATAAAAAAATACCAATTTCCGCAAGTCCAAAAAATGTCCAAAATACCAAAAAATTCGGAATTATTGAGGTGAGAGTATGCGCAGTTTGAAAGCAAATACTGCAAGAGGAGTTTCGCGAAACAGGACAATTTTTGAAACTCAGATTAACGGTCAATATTGAAATGGCCGTTGCCCCCAGACTGCGTGAAAAACAAAATGCTGGGGGGGTATCCAAAAATTCAAAAAAGAAAATCGGAATTTTGGAATAACGGGAATTTCGTAACGGAAAAAAATAAAATAAAATGAAATTTTGAATTTCAGAAAAGAAAGAAAACTTCGAAATGACGAATTCGAAAAAAGTTCGCTGAATTTGTTTTGAAATATCAGGAAATTGCAGAAGGACATATGAATCGAAAGAAACTTTTCGTGACAGTATCTCCAACAACGAAATTTCGAATTTTAGAAAAAAGGTGAAAAACGAGAATTTCAGATGCTTTGCTATTGCGATTTTCCTCCAAAAAAAATAGCGGGAAAATGCAATCCAAAAGAGAAAAAAAAAATTGATTTCGACAGTAAGGTCAGGATCTGCGATTTGGGGGACTAATTAGTGCGACCTAATCAACCAATCAACCAATCAATCAATCAATCAATCAATCAATCAACCAATCAATCCAGGATTAATTAATCAATCCGGGATGAATCAATCGGTCAATCAATCACGACTTACCCAACCGATCTTGGGTTGTCCCCGTGCTCGCATCAGATCAGGTTCGTCCTGATTCACACACGTGGCTCCGATACCAAAACTGACGCATGCCCAATGGGGCAATGCGCAGGGAGCCAAGGATCCGCTATGTGATGAAAAGGACTGAAATGGACAATGCGAGGTCAGCGTAGCATCA